TGGCAGCATAAAAATGAGGACATTTGAAAGTGCCACCCACCATAATAAAGGCAAAAAAATTAAAATAAAATAAAATTAGCACTGCCAAGTAAAATATAAATAAAGATCCATAATCAGCTGGCACCAAGTGCAGAACTTGGATGCCACTGGCAACGGTCCTTATCAAGATGGAAAGGCAGAAAGTGTCAGAAAAATGACATAGCAATAATCACAGTCAGCAAATCTTGAATTTTAGGTTGAGTGGGGAGGCTTCTCCTAAGCACAGCTTTGCAAATTACAGTCTAATTGCACATTCTTCTTTATTTCGGTAATCTTCATGCAAATAGTGATTTGAAGCTGCTGCAGCTGAATTTGTGAGCAAGTTCTCATAATCAGGACGTTGCTACAATTGTTAAAATTTTCCACTATGTCCCATTGGGAAACAAATCCGCCTAGCATAAAAATTCCATCTGAGCTTGTTTTGAGTCAGAGCTACAAACTTCAAGGTGCACAGATGTTTAACTAAAAATCCAGCTTGTTTTGATTGAAAATATGTGAAGAACTTCCTCCCCTGGTTCTTTTGCCTTTCAGAATTAGGATACAATAAGCTGATTTAATTTTGCTTACAGGATGTCTTAGCATCATCATCGACTGGCTTCTCAGCTTGTTTCTTCTTCAGATATGTAACTTTTTCCATGAGGTATAGGAGGCGACCCCTAATGGTTAAATCACTGTTTCCATCCAAGGTTCCATCTTCATCTAGTTCAATTCCTGAAATAAAAAATATACACTAAATAGTTAAAGAATAAAATTAAACAAATTACAGACATGTTTTGTATCTTGTATGTAAACATAATCAAACTGAACTATGTTGTTCTGCTTCTACAGAAGAGTTTGATATGGGATATGCTGAACCAGCAGTTTGGGACAAGTATAGATCAGGTATATGTGCAAGGCAGGAAACTGCAGATAAGGATCATGTAATCTTATGAATTTATTGCATAAATTGTGTGTTATTATACATAAAATATATAGTCAATATATTTCTGTGGTCAACTCCCCCAGTATGCATGTCTCCATGCTTAACACTGATGCCTGCGTTTTGGACCTATGTAGCTCAGAAGTGTAGATATGGTCCCTACTGACACAGTATGGTTCAACTGATACTACTAAAGACTAGGAGATTTTTAGGCAGAACATAGCATAGAAGTGAAAGAACTAAAGTTACAGTAAATATTCTTCTGGCTGGTCACTAGAAAGTAAGTAGTAACCTTCACAATACAGTGGTTCTTTCATGATATTCTTATATCAAGCTATAAAAATGTAAAAAATTGCATGCAAGCCTTTACAGAATCACAGAGCAGCTGAGGTTGGACTGAGCCTTTAGAGATCATGTAGTCCAGTCTCTCTGCTTAAAGCAGGTTCAACTAGAGCAGGTTGCTCAGGATCAGCTTCAGTCAGGTTTCGAATATCTCCAAAGGTGGAGAATCCACAACCTTTTTGGGCAGCCTATTCCTGAGTTCCATCACCCCTACAGTAAAAAAAAAACAGGAAAAACTCCCCCCATGAGCTTTCTCTTTAAGTTAAACAACCGCAGCCCTCTCAGTCTCTCCTTGTTCAAAAGATGCTCCAAGAATTTAATGATCTTTGATGGCCCCTCCCTGGACTCACTCCAGTGTGTCCATGTATCTCTTGTACTGGGGAGCCCAGCTGTTAGCTTTCTTTGCCACCAAGGCCCGTTGCTGCTTATGCTCACCTTGTTGTTGACCAGGATCCCCAGGTCCTTTTCTGCAAAGCTACTTTCCAGTTTCGTCCCTAGCCTGTCCTCGCTGCATGGGGTTATTCCTTTTCAGGTGCAGGACTGCACTTTCTATTGCTGAGCTTCATGGGATTCCCATCAGCTCATTTCTCTCATGTTTTTAACTTCACTCATTCATGCATACATTTTAAAGGAATTAAAAATCTTGACCTATATCTATTAGTCACACTAAAATAAGCTCAAAGTAAAAAGGTCATTCAACTATATTTTCTGGGTTTTTTAGTTTCCAATATAAGTTTGAAAGTTAAGGGTTTTTTGGGGAGTTCTTTAGCAGCCTTGAATTTCATAGGATGTTTCTTCACGATATTACATCATTCTTCCCAAGGAAAAAAGAAAAAGAAAAAAAATCACCATTAGGACACTCAAGCCCTGCAACATGTTGCCCAAAGACACTGGGGAATCTCTGTGCTTAGAAGCTTTCAAGACCCAAGTGCAAAAATCGCTGAGCAACCTGGTCTGAGTTCAGCATTGACTCTCCTTTGAGTAAGAGGCTGCATTAAAGACCTTCTGCGGTATTTGATACCTTAATAAATCTGTGAAACTGGGAGGGGACACAACCAGGATAGCTGACCCAAACTAGCCAAAGGGATATTTGATACCATGACATCATGCTTTGGATATAAAGGGGACTGGCCGGAGAGAAGGGGACAGGCTGAGCATCGGGTTGGGTGAGCAAATTACATTGTATATCACCTGCTTTGTATATTCTTTTGTAAGTACTGTTGCTTATAAAAGTGGGGGAGGTGGAGGGGTGACTGAGTGGCTGCATGTTGCTTATGTTGCTTAGTTGCTGGCTGGGGCTAAACTACAACATAAAAATATTCAGTAACAAGACTTACCACAGTGTGTCATTAAGTCTTCATGGAAATCCAAGAGTTGATCCCGAATTTCTTCTGGGCAAGGACAATCATTTTTATCATCCTTGAAGTTCAGCAGCATGTTAATCTTAAAGAATACAAAGGAAAGGCAAATGACACTGATCTCCAAAATCTAAAACTTTGAAATCAAACAGAACTCTGTCATATATAGACCACAACAAAAAATAAATTGTCCATTGTAAGTTGTACCTGCTCCTGAGGTGGGGATCGAAATTCTTTTGTTTTTCTAGCTGTCAGGGCAGCAGACATGTTCAAGGCCTGCATCACTTCATTGTACCGGAAGCGTTGATTATCTTGAAGCTTGGCCACAAAATCATCCGAAAATGCAACAATGGCTTCTATTCGATGTCGTACTTGACAGTCACACAGGTACTGGAGTAGATGACACATCTGAGAAACAACATTGTAAGAGAAAGAAGAGTTGGCAAACTAGGCAAATAAGGATGCATTCCTTATAGCAGCAGTTACTATCAAATAAAGTGAGCGAAACCTTTAATGCTGTCATTTACTACATATGAAGTAATCCTGCACCAGGAATATCTGGCATCTGTAATAGACTTACGTGCCTCAGACATATAAAATATAAGACATTTATTAAAGTTATAAGAGATTGGATTTAGTCCTTGCTTCTAGGGAATTTCTGTTCGGATCCATAAAAATTAAGAATTCCCTGTTAATGTCATTGAGAAAGTAATTCTACTTAATGAAACAACAGTTGTTCGATCTATCAAAGAAGATAGTATCAGGAAGATACTAAATCTTCTTGTTTCCTGTAAGGAAATTACTTCTCTATTTAACTAACATCAAAATACTGTATCCCTTGAAAGAGAAATTACCAAGTGAAGAAAAACTGATCTGTGAAGAAATGGGAACAACCACTATCACAGCAGTATTGTTACCTGTAATTTAACAGGTTCTGGAAGTTTCATCTGAAGGAGTCCTTCCTTTGGCACTTGCTCCCCTCTGGTTTCTTCCTCTCCTTCTGACTTGAGCTCGTCTGAACTCAGCTCCTTCTCTGAAAAATCAATTTCATCCTCCTGGCTCATTGCTTCTTTGAAAACCCGGGGCTCAATCAACTGCAAGATGTGTTTCAGATCCGCGTTGTGGAAGATTCCCATAATTAGGAGTGTATAAAAGAGCTTGATGAGAGGCACAAACAGAAATTCTGTAGAACCTCCAACTGGGTCTCTGACATGGAGGCTGCCTTCTTGAACAGCTTCAGTCAGCATCTCTATGGTTTTGGCCTTTAAGATTTCCAGAGGGAATTCAGGACTGAACTGAAAGCATTCACTGCTAATGCTTACAAAACTTGGAGAGGAGAACTGCATTCTTGGCCTTAATGAAGTGCTAAGTCCTATACCAGGGAGGCCATGTTTTTTGTTTTCATCAGGAAACAAAGTAATACTCTTGGTCTCATCAGTCATTGGAACTATAAATTCATTATTCATCATTAACCTGGCAGTTGCATAGGTATTGAGATGGATGTCAATGAGTAAGTCATAATATCCTGCACGTAATAATCCTGGCATATATTTATTCTCAATAGCATACAGGAGCTGAGATTCATCCACATGGCTACACATAGCATGGGCCACTCGGTTGTTGCCTAAAGCACAAACAGCTGAATATAATCGGAGGGTATGGTAGTGAAATTTCAGCAATTCTTCTTGTTCTGTCAGCTCTAAAATATCAATTGTTCTGCAGAGAAAAAAAAAAACAAAACCACAATACAGTAAATTCCGTATCACTGCAAAAACTTACTTAAGTGAAAGAATTCAAAATTCTCCCTAAGGGTAACATTGCCACAATATCAGTTCTATGAATGGACTTTTTCCACATTTCAGCTTTGATGTCAGAAACACTGTCAACCTAAGAATCAAGGACTAATAACAAAGTTCAATCAGGAACTTATTCAAGTTGCTCCCAAAGTACAACTTCAATTACTTTCAGTGAGGAAAGACCAAAATTATTTACTTAACACAGAATACTCCTTCACACTACAAACAAGAATTTGGATAACTGAAAATTAAGGTTTAAAAACTAGTATAGGTTGAGATATTTATAACATTTATAGTTTATAGATCTGGGGTTGCAAAATGGCAACAGACTAACCAGTTAATTTGCAGAGGGTTCAGGGGCAGGGTTGGTTGTTTAGAATTCTTACCTAATTTTTCAGTGATTTTATTTTCAGTTTTGGCACTGGCAAAATGCTGAGACATTTGGGTAACCAGGAAATCACAGTTACATTTCTTCAATTGTTTAAACTAAATTTAGGAAAATTAAAGTAATGGAATAATTAAATTGGTCACAAATCTTAAAAAATCCCTACAAAACCAGATCTTTGTCTATCTTACAGATTATCTTTAATAATTTATACACAGAGTTCCTTTCATTTTCATTCAAAACCTATA